GACCCGATTATGTAAAAAAACACCATCTAGCCCCTCTGACCCCATCTTGCCTCCCCAAATATAGTAAAATCTTACTTGTATTCAAGTCTGCAGATGCTGGCTCTGTCTCTGCACTGACATCATCAGAAGTGGTGGTCTGAGCAAATTACAGTGCTTCCCCATAAGATTGGCTGAGATTGTCAACAAGGTAGATCAGGGGCAGAGCAAGCACAAGTCAAACATAGCACTTGCCAATCAGCATCTCCTCATAAAGATCAATTGAATCAATGCATCTCTATGAGGAAAGTTCAGTGTCTGCATGCAGAGGGTGGAGACACTGAATGGCAGTGCTGCACACTAGGCAGTACTGCCCCAGGACGCACCTCTAGCAGCCATCTAAGGAGTGGCTAGTGGAGTTATTTTCTCTGAAAAGACAGTGTATAATGCAAAAAGCCTGAAGGGAATGATTCTACTTACCAGAACAAATAGAATAAGCTGTAGTTGTTTTGGTGACTATATTGTCTCTTTAAGTTTGGAAGCTTAAGAGGGATGTATGGCAACAAAACCTGTGTGGACTGGCTGACAATAAAATTAGTTTAGATAATGCAGACTTTGGTCTCTCTAACACTGTGGCATGTCCCCTTTCTTCTACACTCACTACATACACCTTTTCTCTGTTCCAGACTATATACCAGGAACTTCTGCCTGCTAGTAAGAAAGTAAGGTGACAAGTGGACATGTGAGTGCTAGAGGACAGTCCTTAGAAAGCGTGGAGTAGGCGCATCATTTGATGCATTTATACCAAGCTCAGGGTGCTGCCTGCATAGTATGCCCTTAGTTGGACAGCATGCATGATTGGCAGGCAGCCTGACATGCATTCATGCCAGGCTGGCCTTCCAATTCTTTGGACAAACATGCCCCCTTTTTGGGCATGTTCACCCCTTTTGGCAGGTCTAGTCACGTGATTTGCGTCAGTGGCACAGCCTTTTACCCTGCCCATTGACTTCCTGCTTCATAGGACACTACTTTGGGGAGGTATGGATTTACTTGAAAGATTAAAGCATAAATTAGAGAGATTAGCATAGAGTATGTTATTTCGTATAGCTGCATCCTTTCCCTCCAACACCATCTCCATCAGATACATGACGCTTGGGAGGTATGGTTGTTTTAGTGTTTTTGGTCGATAAGATTCTGTAGTTAGGCCCATCATAATTGTCAGCTCCAGGCCCACTTGGCTCTTAATCTGGCCCTGGATAGAAACATTCAAATATATAAAGGGAATCAACACAGTAAAGGAGGAGACTATATTTTAAAGAAGAAAAACTACCACAAGAGGACATAGTCTTAAATTAGAGGGACAAGGGTTTAAAAATAATATCAGGAAGTATTACTTTACTGAGAGGGTAGTGGATGCATGGAATAGCCTTCCAGCTGAAGTGGTAGAGGTTAACACAGTAAAGGAGTTTAAGCATGCGTAGGATAGGCATAAGGCTATCCTAACTATAAGATAAGGCCAGGGACTAATGAAAGTATTTAGAAAATTGGGCAGACTAGATGGGCCGAATGGTTCTTATCTGTTGTCACATTCTATGTTTCTATGTTTACCCGTTCAGTGACTTACCTGCATCCAGCGTAGATGTCCCTCTGCGGTGGTTCTGGGTCCACCCACGCTCCTCCCCCGCCGATGTCAGCATGCGCATTAGACCTCCCCATAGGAAAGCATTGAAAATGCTTTCAATGCTTTCCTATGGGGATTTTAGTGACGCTGGAGGTCCTCACATAGCGTGAGGACTTCCAGCGACGCTATAGCACAGAAAACCTTTGCTATGGACCAGGAAGTGCCCTGTAGTGGCTGTCTAGTAGACAGCCACTAGAGGAGGAGTTAACCCTGCAAGGTAATTATTGCAGTTTATAAAAAGTGGGAAGTGGGAGTTGGCACCCAGACCACTCCAATGGGCAAAATTGCCTGGTGTGTCCCTTTAAGGGCCCTGCTCAAATTCCCCTCTAGCATAATAACTAGAAAAGCAACAATTTCTGGGGAAATTGTGTGAAGTGTTCTTGCCTCCACCAGTAGTCTACAACTGGAATGGGCGGAGTAACTGGGTGGAGTGGCTTGATTAACTGTTGTGTGGTTGGGGTTGCTAGAGTAACTGTGGAAAGGTTGGACTGGGCAGAGTAACTGTGTGGAGTGTTTGGAGTGAGTAAAGTAACTATTTGGAGTGGCTCAAAATATATTTATTAAATGTGATAGTGCTCACTTTTGTGTTATCAAAACTGTAGGAAGGACAGCAGTTTAGAGAATGTGTTTCATCTAGCAGCCTCTGTGTTCCGGAACACTCTGCTGGATGCTCAAACACATGGGTTCCTATGGCAACTCACTCTACAGCAAGGGCAGAGAAGAGCGGTTAAAAACAAAGTGCTCCAAATTGCTCACTTCACTGGCGGTTGCCATCTTCAAGTGGTCGTATTTTAAAAACTATAAATCCTACAGCGATGAGCATTATATTGTGAGAATTACAAGACCCAGACCTACAAAAATGAAGGCACAGTCGCAGTTTAGAAATTTCCCTTCAAATTTGAGGTGGCTAGAGTGGAGTTTTTAGTGGCAGCAGGGATAGCTGAACGTTTTGATATAAGATTTGTGTAGGTGGGCTTGAAAATGAGGGAGTGGTGGCAGTTTAGAAATCATGTCCTGATTTTTCAGCTTTTCTCAGCTCCCACTCTAGTTTTGAACATTTTGCCATTCATTCCTATGGGACCAATTTCGCCACAAGAACGACGATATTCCGTGAACCATTCGGCGAAACGTTCCACAAAGTAATAGCACACCAATCGGGAACAATCCGCACGTTTCGGTATATTACTGTCTATGTAGTGTAAAAACTGTGGGAGGAGTTAGGGTGGTAAATTTGGCTATAATAATAAGAACAATATATATGTGAGATAATAGTAAGTGGTCTTGCCATGCAAGAACACTTAATAATAAACAAGACTATACATAGAACATGCATTTAGAGTGAAAATAATGGGATTCAGAAATATCAGTATAATAGCTTCTTGATCCAAGGAGAGATCTGACTATCATTCTGAGGTCAAGAATGAATTCTTTCCTAGTTTGTTGCAAAATTAAAAAGCGCTTCTAACAGTTTTTTTCCTCCTCTTTTGGATCAACAGCATGTGAAGCATGTCTCTATTCAGCCTATTTAACTACATCCTGAATATTGTGTTATAGAAAAGACAGACCATCAGGAACTCTCAGGGTTAACAGTCAGGAAGTAAATCCTATGATACAAACTGTCCGCCCTCTGGTTGTGGAATGTGATAAAAACCCATCCCGCTGCTTTCTGAGAAAAGACAAACATTACGTTTCGTTTTTCGTTCCTGCTTTCAGTGATGGCGTCTGCTGATCTGAGAGACGAGCTGACCTGCTCCGTCTGCCTGAACATTTATACTGAACCTATAACCCTGCCATGTGGACACAGCTTCTGTCGGGTCTGTATTGCGGGTGTGTTGGACACACAGTTGTCTTGTCCGGAATGTAGACAAAGCTTTCGGATACGACCAAAGCTTAAGAGAAATCTGAGGCTGAGTAACATATCTAAGCATTTCTTATCTACTGAGCCACCGAACAACCAGAGAAAGATTGAGTTCCCCTGTACCTACTGTGACTATCCAGAGCCTGCAGCTAAAACATGTCTGCTGTGTGAAGCTTCTCTGTGTGATAAACACCTAAAGAATCACAGTCAGTCGGCAGAACACATCTTAACTGAACCCACATCGTCCCTGAGGAACAGAAAATGTTCCGTCCACAAGAAGGTCCTGGAGTACTACTGCACAGAGGATGCTGCTTGTATCTGTGTGTCCTGCTGCCTGGTAGGAGTACACAAGGGACATCAGGTAAAATCACTAAATGAGACATTTGAGGAGAAGAAAATCCAAATGAGGGAGAGTCTCGAAAAACTTACAGCAGAACGAGTGGAAACTAAGACAAACTTCCAGATCTTGTGGAAGATGAAGGTAGAAGTTCAGGAAAAAGTAACTGATGTGACAGGCCAAGTCAAAGCGCTGATTACAGACATCAGAGGACGTCTAGACAACCTAGAACATCAAGTTCTGAGTGAGATCTCCAGGCAGGAAGATAAGGTTTCCCACCAGATCTCAGATCTAATCCGACAGCTGGAAACCAAGAAGGACATTCTGTCCAAGGAAATAAGTGAGATTGAGGAGAATCTATGTAACATGACAGACCCATTGACTGTCTTACAGCAACAGGTATTGGGCAGATGTGAGGTGGAAGATAATATTAATAATATGGACAGAGAGAGAGAAGACAAAAAGGTCCATGCTATGGAAGATTTGGACCTGGGTCTGAGCTTGGCAACCTTACACTCTGGCATAACTGATATTGCAACTGTTTTAAGGGGATGGAATATGTCATATTCAAGCAGTTTACTAAATGTAAACATGGCTCCAGGCACATTATTGGACATAAACACGGCTTGTAATAAAGTAGCCATATCAGGTAACATGAAAATGGCTTCCACATCAGGCATACCCCAGGGATACTGGGAAACACCAGAAAGATTCCAAGTTTGTCTTCAGGTTTTAAGCACCTTTGGAGTTTCCTGTGGCCGATATTACTTTGAGATGGAGACCAGTAATTCAGGGTACTGGAGGCTAGGGTTGGCCTATCCCAGTATAGAGAGAAAAGGGGACCAGGCAGTAATTGGATACAATGACAAGTCCTGGGTTTTAGAGTATTGGAATAGTCAGTTTTCGGCGGTACATAACCATAATAAATCCTGGTTAAGTCGCTCGTCTTCTGTAGTGAGATTTGGGATGTACCTGGATTATAAAACTGGGCGACTGTCATTTTATGAGCTGTGTAATCCAGTTAGAGAATTACACACCTTCACAGCCACCTTCACTGAGCCACTTTATGTTGCATTATCTGTGTATGGTAGTAATAACTGGATTAGAATAATTAATTAAAGGAACACTTGGAAGTGTTTTCCTAATGCTACAGTATCCTTAAGGCATAATGTGATTTTTTTATTTTGTGTCCACCCTTTCCCTGGTTGTGGAAAGGGTAAGATCACTGGTTGGCTCCATCTCCTCCTCTGACGTCGGCAAAGGGGAGAAGCTAATGCCCATGCGTGGCAGGGGACACCATGCACGTTAGGCCTTCCCCATAGGAAAGCATTGAATCAAAAGCATGTTAAATCTGGAAGCACCTCTAGTTGGCTGGATGGTAGACACTCATTAAAGGCAGTCTTAACCCTGCAGACATTACCGTTTCTCTAAAACATGGTTTACATTGCTGGGTTAAGGGAACAGGGAGAGTGCACCCAGGCCATTTTAATGAGAAGAACTATAGTGTCCTTAAACTGCTCTGTGCCTCTGTCTATGATCTGCCCAGCTCTCTATCCTGCTCTCTGCCCAGCTCTCTATCCTGCTCTTTGCCCTGCTCTCTGCCCAGCTCTCTATCCTGCTCTCTTCCCAGCTCTATATCCTGCTCTCTTCCCAGCTCTCTATCCTGCTCTCTATCCCGCTCTCTGCCCTGCTCTTTATCCCGCTCTCTTCCCAGCTCTATATCCTGCTCTCTGCTCAGCTCTCTATCCTGCTCTCTATCCTGCTCTCTTCTCAGCTCTATATCCTACTCTCTGCTCAGCTCTCTATCCTGCTCTCTGCCCAGCTATCTATTCTGCACTCTGCCCAGCTATCTATCCTGCTCTCTGCCCAGCTCTCTGCCCTGCTCTTTATCCTGCTCTCTTCCCAGCTCTCTATCCTGCTCTCTGCTCAGCTCTCTATCCTGCTCTCTATCCTGCTCTCCATTCTGCTCTCCATCCTGCTCTCTATCCTGCTCTCTGCCCAGCTCTCTATCCTGCTCTCTATCCTGCTCTCTGCCCTGCTCTCTGCCCTGCTCTCTGCCCAGCTCTCTATCCTGCTCTCTGCCCAGCTCTCTATCCTGCACTCTGCCCAGCTATCTATCCTGCACTCTGCCCAGCTATCTATCCTGCACTCTGCTCAGCTCTCTATCCTGCTCTCTGCTCAGCTCTCTATCCTGCTCTCTATCCTGCTCTCTTCCCAGCTCTATATCCTGCTCTCTGCTCAGCTCTCTATCCTGCTCTCTATCCCGCTCTCTGCCCTGCTCTTTATCCCGCTCTCTTCCCAGCTCTATATCCTGCTCTCTATCCTGCTCTCTGCGCTGCTCTTTATCCTGCTCTCTTCTCAGCTCTATATCCTACTCTCTGCTCAGCTATCTATTCTGCACTCTTCCCAGCTCTCTATCCTGCTCTCTGCTCAGCTCTCCACCCTGCTCTCTATCCTGCTCTCTGCTCAGCTCTATATCTTGCTCTCTGCTCAGCTCTCTATCCTGCTCTCTATCCTGCTCTCTGCCCTGCTCTTTATCCCGCTCTCTGCCCTGCTCTTTATCCCGCTCTCTGCTCAGCTCTCTATCCTGCTCTCTATCCTGCTCTCTGCGCTGCTCTTTATCCTGCTCTCTTCTCAGCTCTATATCCTACTCTCTGCTCAGCTATCTATTCTGCACTCTGCCCAGCTCTCTATCCTACTCTCTGCCCTGCTCTTTATCCTGCTCTCTTCCCAGCTCTCTATCCTGCTCTCTTCCCAGCTCTCTATCCTGCTCTCTGCTCAGCTCTCTATCCTGCTCTCTGCTCAGCTCTCTATCCTGCTCTCTATCCTGCTCTCTATCCTGCTCTCTATCCTGCTCTCTGCTCAGCTCTCCATCCTGCTCTCTATCCTGCTCTCTGCCCAGCTCTCTATCCTGCTCTCTGCTCAGCTCTCTATCCTGCTCTCTGCCCTGCTCTCTGCCCTGCTCTCTGTCCTACCCTCTGCCTAACTCTCTATCCTGCTCTCTGCCCTGCTCTCTGTCCTGCTCTCTGCTCAGCTCTCTATCCTGCTCTCTGCCCAGCTCTCTATCCTGCTCTCAGTTTTGTTCTCTTGCTGTCTCCTCTCACCTTATAATTCTGGTCGGCTGGGTGTAACAGGTGTGTTATTCCGTGCAATGTTTATGTGATTTTGAGATGTATTGTATGTATCTACATGCAGGTTTATGAGCAGATTGTTTAACTACATGACAGATACATTTATGTTAAATAAAGATTAATATTAATTTTCGGAATGGCGTGTCAATATTGTTTAATAGTGCTCTGGGTCTGACCTGCATGTATGTTGCACTTTGTGTTCACATATAACTGACATTCCATCAGTGTTAATTTTGTTCTAACAATTTTAGTCGGATTTTAGTCGACTAAAAATTCTAAGATTTAATCAACTAAAATTAGACTAAAACAATTCAGATGACTAAAATACAACTAAAACTAAAATGGCTTTTTAGACAAAAGACTATGACTAGATCTAAATTGAAATTTGTCGCCAAAATTAACCCTGGTGGGTAAGACACATGAGGGTGGGAGGAGAGGAAATGAGACACACGGGGTGGGCTGGGGGAACGAGACACACGGGGTGGGCTGGGGGAACGAGACACACGGGGTGGGCTGGGGGAACGAGACACACGGGGTGGGTTGCGGGAATGAGACACAGGGGGGTTGGGAAATTAGACTTATGAGAGGGCTGGGAGAATGAGACACATGGAGGGACTGGGGGAGGGAATGAGCACATCGAGGAGCTTGGGGAAAATGAGACATATGGGGGAGATGAAATGTGACATAGAAGCTGGGGGAAAGTGACACACAGTTGGGTCTATGGAAAGAAAGAGACACTTTGAGGAGCTGAGAAGGGAGGGCAAAGAGACAGACAGGGGCTTGGGGGGAGACACCCAGAGGGACTGCTATTATATAATGAAACAGAGGGTCTGTGCAAGGAGCAAAAGAGACATACCAGGGCTTGGGAGAGAGATACCAGAGGGGGGTGAGAGGCACAGAGGGGCTGGGAAAGGGGCAAAAGAGACAGAGGCTTTAACTAAACCCATTATATTTTAGTCGAGATTTTGTCAACTAAAACAATTCAGATGACTAATATATGACTAAAACTAAACAGTTTTTTTTTTCATCCAATTAAGTGGATTATCCCTACGTGCAACAGAACTGGCTTTTTACACAAAAATACATAACTTTAACATTATTCATGCTATTATACCGAATGACCGTTCTGCAGATAGCGGTGGTCTAAGCGCATACTTCGTGAAAGTACCATTCAGATCCCAGCACAATTAGCCGAACGCCACACGAAATACACTTAAACATACATTTTTCAACAAAGGCACGAATAGACCAGCAGGGATAAAATACCAAAAGATCGGTGCTCCCGAACAGCCTGGAAGTCCAGCGGTATTCGTGCCGTCGGGTAGCTGATTTAAGTTCCAGACACTCAACGACAAAATACCGCTGGGCTAACAAAGGATCCAAGATGGCCGACCGCCGCGTGGTCGGTATCCGAACGGTGGCCACCATGAACATCCATTAACTACCGAAAGATACAATGTTGCGATACTTAATGGGAGCCACACGACCTCCTGTGTGAAGTCTCCCATTCGGTAGTTTGTTCGTTACACGAACAGTGTTGAAATTCACTGTTCGTGAAACTACTGTATGAATGATGGTGGCTTTCATGCCCCCAGCATGTGAATGCTCTCGTTCGCATGAAATATAGACAAGTGAATATACTCAGTTCAGATAGCCTCAAAGCTACAACATCACATTAATGGAAATACAGTCTTAAGTGGCTAGTTTTGCCACAAAATCTAAATTGGAATTTGCCACCAAAATTGACACTGCATTCCATGTAGACACACACGTTGCTTATAGATTGGTTTTACTGCTTGTCTGGACTATTATATGAAAGAAATGTTTTTTTATATAGGATGTATTGGGAGTTTGCATTTACTAGCTTGTCTTTTCCTCTTTATTCGAAGCTGAAGCAGGTGTAAGGTTAAGACAGTTAGGGTTTGGCTCTGAACCGGTGGTAAGAGCGTATGGGAGAGGCTTCGCCCCAGGGAACAAATGTTAAAGTTCATTGGAAGTTATAAGGTGTAAAATATAAGTCATAAGATTGCTGATCTAAATGTTACTAGCCTGCCGGGGAGGAGAACACGTTTCATAGCCAATGCCCGGTCTGTTAATCGATATACTACAAATAAAGTAGATGAAAGTGTGCCATGCAACCTACAGTGGTAGGTAGTGCCACTGTGTTATTGACTTCTTCAGTTTAAGAAAGAGATTCCTGGAGGACAGACACTGAAATTTGTGAACTAGGTTTAAGGACTTTTTTTTTTTACAATCTGATTTTAATTGAGATTTTCAGAAAAATATCAGGCATAGTATCACAGTATACAGGAAATTGTGAGGAGAACATAGATACCAGAGCAAACACATTAGGTCCTTTCATTGGGACAATCAATACCATGAAGGTGAAGGATAAGTAAGCAAACTCAGAAGTAACATTTAATTGAGGAACTGTGTATCTTTCAGTGTTAGGAAGAGAGAGGCGAGACTCCACAAATCCGGTTACCCCATACGGAACCGGGGCTATCGAGGCCCGATCGCGAGCATTGGCCGGCCACCCTGAGAGGTTTAAGGACTTAAATGGACACACTGAGCACTAAAACAACTTTCACTCTTGCCTCCCAGCAATTATAGTTTTGGTGGGATAGCCTGAATTTTTGGGTCCTGTCCTGCCGTCCGACCTTTGTTCCTTGGTGCCTGCTTTTGGGGATATCAGTGAATTGTCCTCAAATACATGCTCCCTGCATGTGCTGCCCTCAGGAGACCAGTCTGGAGTATTGGCAGGTTTCCTGGAATGCATTCATGCCAGGCTGAATATTCAGAAATTCCAGGTGGGTTTGCCCCTTTTGGGAGGTGCCAGTAATGTAATCGCTTCATTGACCCACCCCCTTTACCAGCCTCCTTTTAGTTGTGGGAATGTCTTCCTGAAAAGATTACAGATCAACTGTGGCCTGCAGCATTTCCCTTTAAATGTTTAATTCTGGAAATGAATACATGTTTTCTTTTGTT